CTAGGTCGACTCAGCCTCAAATGAGTACCTGGTGCGGTGTGTAAACATCGCCACTCGGGAGACAAAGGCTACTGGGCGTGGTTCGGTCACATCACACACCCTCGGGTGCCGTGCCGGCCTTAATAGGTGCTCCCTAACAGCTCTTGCCCCAATCTTTTGTGTAGGCTCTACGGGGGATCTTTGTCTTTGCGTGCATATGGCCACAATCACCATCTCCAGCCCCAGCCCCGTGCCAGCGAGCTTGGCCGCCGTTCAATCGTTTCACATAAAAAAGCGTCCCATATGAGCGGGCTTTGGTGACAAAGCATTTATCAAACGCAACATTGTTTTGCCGTGGTTAGGCGCTCTCTTTAGAGCGGTGTCTCATAGCAACACGTGCACAGAATGCGCTCACCACTCACCCTTGTCTCTCGCAGCGTACAGTCACGTGCACAACGATTCTCCCCGTTGTAGCCTTCGCAGGACTGTTGGGGCAAGTGCTGTTAGCGAGCAGCACCTATGGAGGCCGATGGGGTGGGGGGTGGCCAAGACCGTGCCTTTGTCTGTCCCGCGCTGATGTTTTACACAGCGCACGAGATACTCGTTGAAGTCCAGGGCTGGTTCAGATAACCCTGCACCGGCGTTGGCCTATGAGCGGGAGTCGAACTCGGGTCGCCGGGTTCGTATTCGCAAATGAATTGAATTTGCCACGCACGCGACGTCGTGCGCTGACCACTGCGGCACCGCACACTCGCTGTGTCGGAGACGCTGCCGTGCGTGTCCGTACGTTTTGCTGATCTCAGCCAGAAGCAAACTGCGCAGCTCTGGCTTCACAAGGCGATGTGAATTTGGCTTGGGGCCATGTCGAGCCAGGGGGCGGTTTAATCATTTTTGCTCATTGAGTGTGATGTCAGTAAGCACAGTTCTGGTTCTGTAGTGTTAAACAATCTCGTGCAGCCTGAGCTGGTGTGTGGACGGTGGTAGTGTTTGTGGGTGTATTTCGATGTTGTGTGGGTGGTGGTGGTGTATCCGTGGTGGTTGGGTGGTGGTGGTGATTTTGTGGTGGTGGTGGTGTGTGTCAGTGGTGGGTGGTGGTGGTTTTATGGATGGTCGTGGTGGGGTGTCGATGGTGGGTGTTTAGTAGCGGCAGTGGTGGTGGTGTGTGGGTGGTGGTGGATATTGGTGGTGTGTGGGTGGTGGTGGATGGTGGTGGTGTGTGGGTGGTGGTGGGTGGTGGTGGGTGTGGTGGTGGGTGGTGTTGGTGGGTGGTGGTGTGTGGGTGGGTGGTGGTGTGTGTGTGTGGGTGGTGGTGTGTGGGTGGTGGTGGTGTGTGTGTGGGTGGTGGTGTGTGGAGAGCGATAGTGTAGCGGTTAGCGCGCTGCGCTATGAACCTGGCGACCCGGGTTCGATTCCCGCTCACGGCCAACACCAGTGACGATTATCTGAACCGGTCCTGGGCCTCCCCTAGGTCGACTCAGCCTGAAATGAGTACCTGGTGCGGTGTGTAAACATCGCCACTGGGGAGACAAAGGCGGTCGGGCGTGGTGTTGGCCACCCACCCCCTCGTGTACCGTTGCGGCCTTCATACAGCCAAAGTCCGCGTTTTTTCAAATACGCCGCACTTTCCCCGCATAAATTGCAGATTTCCGCGCGCAAAATATGCGGGCTTGCATGATTTCATAATCCCCGCATTTTCGTTGCAAAAAGTCACATATATCTCAGCAGAAAGTTGAAAAATGTTGCGTTTACTTCACACAAGCGCAGCCATTTCCCCTGTTGCCATGGGAACGTTATGAAGTGTTAGAGGCTACGTAGTTAGTTTTATTCAGGAGTTTATGCAACTTTACACTTGTAAGATTGGACTTTTTTGTTAGTAGTATGTAAATTTACATTACTGTAAGACTGTACTGTTACTGTATTGCTTACGTTACTGTGCACTGAAAACACTTATTTTAACAGAAGATGTCTGTTTTGTATAGCTACCTCTGTAAAACAGGAAGCACACATTTTATTTTTTTATATTTTATTTATTCATTTTTACAGAAGTTGTAGCATATTCATTTTGTAAAGCTACAGAACTTGTTCGACTCAATGTTTTGTAAGTTTGAGCCATCTGTTTGTTAAGGTCTAAAATAAAACAAGATGAGAACTTAAATATTCCCAGCACTTTCTGTGATGTAGTATGCTTGCTTATCATAGGAAGTAATAAGAAATGACTCTTTACATTAAAGTAGTAGCCTAGTGAATAGGGTGTTGGGGGAATCACTTTTTTTTCTCTTTTTCATCAAACCGCAATTTTTGCAAGTTCCCGCAATTTAATCGCATAAAATTGCATAAATATCCCGCATATTCCATCGCATTTTTTAAGAAAACGTGCCGCATAATCAACGATTTTTGCCCGCAACAATCACCAAAAAACTCCGCGTTTTTCTGGAGGGACTGTTCATAGGTGCTCGCTAACAGCACTTGCCCCTACAGTCTGTTAAGGCTATACGGGGGATCTTTGTGTGGGTGGTGTTGGTGGGGTGTGGGTGGTGGTGTGTGTGTGGGTGGGTGGTGGTGGTGTGTGGGTGGTGGTGGGTGGGCTTCCGAGCTGGTTTGGCGCGCACCCACAGTGTGACACATTGATGTGACACAGGGAGAAGCTATGAGCAGCACGGCACAAGGCAGGTGTGTGCACGTCGCTGGGATATTGCTTTTTTCTCCCCAAGCACCGACGCTCGACGATGGCGGAGGGTGTGGGATCGGCGCGCTTCGAGACGAATTGAATCGGTGAAGGAAAACGCACAAGCCGCACGCGCGCGTGTGTGTTTATTTTTCATCGTGATATATTTATTTTTTTATTCCGTCGCGGAAAGCGCTCGTCTGTCCCGGCTTGCGGCGGTGGCCGAGGAGCAGAGGTCGCAACCGGGTACCCGATACCCGTACCCTACCCGATACCCTGCTACCCGTACCCGGCCGGGTACGGGTAGCAGGGTAAGGAATCAAAACCCGTTTGCGACCTCTGCCGAGGAGCCGACCGCGAGCGTTTTCCCCCCTCCCACCCGCGACGCATTGAGGCCCGGCCATCGATACGAGTGACCTTCAGCCGGCTCCCCACCACCACCCCCCCCCCCCGCGGCGCAGGTTGAAAAGCGGCCGAGCGGTTTGTCCGCGTCAAAACTCCGCCGCCGCCGCCGGCGTTCACCACTCAATTTGTCCGCACGCTCGTTCGCTCGTTTAGTTGTCACCGTCCTCATCACCGTTTGTCGTCATCGTCATGGGGATTGGTCGAACAACCCCCACATGACCGACACTTTGTGGAAATGCCCAATCAGTGCATTTTAAAATCTCGATTGAGAACTCATTTCTTTGAAAACTGCCCTTTGTCTTTGGTTTGTTGTCCTTCTCCGGCACCTGCGATTCGCACGGTTGGCTACGTATGGCGCGAATGAAGTCCAACGTACATACATTAGATTTAGAAAAAAAACAACAGCAATGGCTGTAAATTACCACCACTGTTTTATACAAGATTTGGCACTTGTTTGTTTCTTGTTCCATTGTCCGTTTTGAGAGCCAGACAGAGTCACACGTGGAAGAGAGAATGGGCAGCAGGGTTTCATCCGCTCGGAAAAGGGGGCTCGGGCAGAAACACGTCACCCGCAAGGGGACGGTAGTCGACGATCGAGCCTAACCATGGGGGGAGTTGGGCATGCCAGGGGAGGCAGGGAGGGAGGGAGGCAGGCAGGGAGGCAGGGAGGGAGGCAGGGAGGCAGGGACGTCCTCCGCAGTGAGACGCAGCGGCGACAGCAGCAGCTCGCGCGAGCCATCAGTCGAACGTGGCAAAACCGCCTCGAGATGGCGACGGCGGCGACAGACGACCTTCAGCCCCGACTGCGAGACAAATAAAGATCCTGATACGTTGACGGCGCTCTCTCTCTCTATCTCTCCCTCTCTCTATTTCTCTCTCTCTCTCGTGCCGAACGGCGGAGGGCGATCGGTCTCGCTGGGGGGGGTGCGCCCGCGTGTGGTGGGGGGGGGCGCGTGCCGCCATTAGCGCGATGGACGGCGGCCGCGGGGGGCCGCGCTGCCGCGAAGGGATCGAAGCGGGGGTCAATGACGCTTCTCGTTTGGCGCTAACGGCGCTTTCATTACGGAGCGAGAGAGAAAGAGGGAGAGGAAGACCCTCTTTTTGCGGAGACTGCCTCGGAACATTCCTCCAGGGGTGTCATTTAGTTACATTTAATAATCTAATAATAACCTTCTGTCCCGGAGCCTCATTTAAATATAAATTGCGCACGCTGCCTCCCATCGCCGCCAGTGACATTGACTCCCAAAACAAACGGTGACGACGCCACGGGGCCGCTGCTGGGCCACCTCGCAGCGCCGGCGGCAACAAAGTCCCTCGACTGGCCGGACTGGCTGCCCGGCCATCCCACCACCAGACGAGAAAGATCCCCCCCCTCGCCCCTCCACGTTCTGCCCCCCACCCCGCTAGTACCAGCGCCACGCTCGTCCACCTTTGTCTCTTCCACCCCCCCTCCCTCGTGTAATCATTGTAAAAGGCGAATGTTGTTAGCGGGGCACCTATCGAGGGAGTGGTGTGGCTGCAACCCAGCCCGGTCGCTTTTCTTCCGATGTTGTTTTACGCACTGCACCGGGTACTCGTTTAAATGCCGAGTGGACCTTGGGAAGGCTCGGGACCGGTTGAGATATTTGCTTGTTCAGGTTAGCCGTGAGCACACACGTACAACACACACACTCCCCTCTGCGCGCGAGCCGGCAGGGATGAGACGGCAAGCAAGACGGAACGTCTACGAGGCAGTGCAGCGCACAACGTAGGACGCGACAAACGAGACGCGCGGTTGAAATGGGAAAAACCCAAAAACATCGGCTATCGAATGGAATGGCGATGCCGAACCGTGCGCTTGTGCGCGCGAGCGTCTTCCGTCGCGCGTTTCCTTGCTGGAGGCCGTGCTGGTGCCCCCCGTGCCTCATCGCGTCTCTGTAGCTCAGCGCCCGACTCCGTCTCCCCGCCGCAGGTGGTGACGCTGGAGCGCCAGGTGTTCGACTTCCTCGGGTACCAGTGGGCGCCCATCCTCGCCAACTTCCTGCACATCCTGGCCGTCATCCTCGGCCTCTTTGGGGTCCTGCAGTTCCGCCCTCGCTACCTGGGCCTGGTGAGCCTCCCTGTGCCGCCCCACTCCTCTGCGTGTGTCTCCGTGCCTCCCGTGCCTCCCCGTGCCACCTCTTGTGCCTCCCCTTGACATCCTGTGTCTCCGTGCAACCTCACCGCCCACCCCCCCCCCGTGTGTCTCCGTGCCCCTCCCCCCCGTGTGTCTCCGTGCCCCTCCCCCCCGTGTGTCTCCGTGCCCCTCCCCCCCGTGTGTCTCCGTGCCCCTCCCCCCCGTGTGTCTCCGTGCCTCTCCCCCCCGTGTGTCTCCGTGCCTCTCCCCCCCGTGTGTCTCCGTGCCTCTCCCCCCCGTGTGTCTCCGTGCCTCTCCCCCCCGTGTGTCTCCGTGCCCTCCCCCCCCGTGTGTCTCCGTGCCTCTCCCCCCCGTGTGTCTCCGTGCCTCTCCCCCCCGTGTGTCTCCGTGCCTCTCCCCCCCGTGTGTCTCCGTGCCTCTCCCCCCGTGTGTCTCCGTGCCCTCCCCCCCGTGTGTCTCCGTGCCTCTCCCCCCCGTGTGTCTCCGTGCCTCTCCCCCCCGTGTGTCTCGTGGCCCTCCCCCCCCGTGTGTCTCCGTGCCTCTCCCCCCCGTGTGTCTCCGTGCCTCTCCCCCCCGTGTGTCTCCGTGCCCCTCCCCCCCCCGTGTGTCTCCGTGCCTCTCCCCCCCGTGTGTCTCCGTGCCTCTCCCCCCCGTGTGTCTCCGTGCCCCTCCCCCCCCGTGTGTCTCCGTGCCTCTCCCCCCCGTGTGTCTCCGTGCCCTCTCCCCCCCCGTGTGTCTCCGTGCCTCTCCCCCATCGTGTGTCTCCGTGCCCCTCCCCCCCCGTGTGTCTCCGTGCCTCTCCCCCCCGTGTGTCTCCGTGCCTCTCCCCCCCGTGTGTCTCCGTGCCTCTCCCCCCCGTGTGTCTCCGTGCCTCTCCCCCCCGTGTGTCTCCGTGCCCCTCCCCCCACCGTGTGTCTCCGTGCCCCTCCCCCCCGTGTGTCTCCGTGCCTCCCCCGTGCCACCTCATGCCACCGCACGTATGTCCTCGTGTCTCCCCTTGCCTACCTGTGCCGCTGCATGCTTCCTCCCGGCGCATCCCCCGGGCTCCGTCTATATCCTCACGTTACCCCCCCTGCACCCCCTCCCCATGTCTTTACTTCGCATCTCTCTGCTGCCCTTTGTCTCCTCGTGCCTGCCACGTTTTGTGTCCCTGCAAGTGCCCTCCACTGCAACACCTGCCCACTGACAAACTCCCCCCCCTCCCGTCCCCTCCCCCCGGCCACCCCCGTGCAGTACGCCGTGTGGACAGTCCTGTGGCTCACGTGGAACATCTTCCTCATCTGCTTCTACCTGGAGGTCGGCGGGCTGTCCAAGGTGGGACGCGCCAATCCCCTCGCCCCCCCCGTGGCGCTGCTGTCGCCGTGATACATTTGACGCGTCTGTTCGTCACGTGACAAATGTATTCATTGGTTGTGTCGGGTGGAGGAGGGTTTTTACGACGCACATTTTTACACGACGACCTGACCCAAAAGATAAACAATTATGAAAGGCTACGTATGAAATGTAATATTTTGTTTTCGTCATAATAACAATATTGTTTTTTTTATTTCACGAAGCCCTCTCATTTCGAAATATCTCAAAGCGCTGCGTGTAAACAAAATAAATAAATAAACTGCACTCGTACAGATAAAATCCAATCGAAATGCAGCACAAACCAATCGTAGCAGTGACGACTACACTCGCACGATAGATTAATTATTTGCCTCTGGTAATTCGAGCACGAAGAAAGTTCACTGTGAAGTTGTTCAGCGCAAACCCTCGCCACGAGCATGTTAACGCACCGTAGCGGCAATACAGTGCGTGATGCTTGCGAGAACGCACGCCATTCGCCGCACAAAATCAATAAACGATCCAACGGACTGCAGAATTTATGACGCCATATAACGGCCACGCTTGCCAATTTACTCCGAATAGCATTTTGTGGCGAGCGCATGGGAGTACTGCAATGGTTGATAGCTACTTAATTACAACTTTAATTACCGAGTTTGTTATTTTGCGAAAAAAATTTATATTTTTCGGCCGGAAATGAGATATGTAGGTAAAGTGAGACATGCGACGACAATGACGACGATGAAGACTACGGTTCAGCGAAACGCGACGATGCGACCGCCGCGGACGTCACACGCCGCTACGACGTGTCGCTTAGAACCGCGGTACCGGGGACCGCACGACGCCGACGGTCCGCCGGAGGGGAGCGGAAATCCCCGGTACGTTATAAATCAGCGCTGGCCTTTCCAGCCCTAATTGGAGAGCAATCTCACTTTTACAGGCTCTGTATTAAATATGCAAATTGTAGCCTTTAGGGTGCGCAAGGCCCCCGGGTTAAACCTGTGTATATCCGCAGTGCGAGTAATTGCCTCCGAGCCGCATGCGTGCTTTTAGCACCGCCGCCACTGCCACCACCCCCCCGCCCGGCTCCCTCCCCCCTCACTCCCCCCTCACTTTTCCCTCTGATCGCGCAAAGTCGAAAGAGTCGCCAGAAAATGTCGTGACACATCTGAAATTGCCATCGTCTGGCACGCGGCGTTGGCGGCTGGCGCCTCCCGTTATTGCATCCGCTCTCGTTTCAAAGGGGGCTCGCGAATTAATTGCCCTTAGCTTCGCGATGAGAGGGGCCCGGCTCGCCGCGGCCGACGGAGTCGCGAGGCACGAAATACTTTCTCTGGCAACGTCGGAGGTGTGCTGCGTTGCGGACGGCTCGTCGGGCATCGGGTGCCACCTGAGCGATTTTTGTCGCAAGGATTATCCTCCGACTACCCAGTAAACATGCCAACGTTAGGCCGACGTTGGGCATGTGTCAGCTCGCAACCATTGTACCTAAACCGCAAGGGAGCCGGGGCCGTTGGCTGGGGCCCTTGTTTTCACCCGCCCAGGGAGCCTACCCCCCCCACTGCACCCCCCCTCACCCACTCCCCATTGTTGCCATCCATCCGTGCGTTGTTCCCGCTCGTTTGTGCAGCGTGGGAGGGCGTTGTTGACGGACGTCGACCGGAGGCCGTGGGCTGCGCGTGCCCCGCCGCGTTGTTCACCTCGGGTCGCGCGCCCGCGCGGCTTCTGCCGGTCGCTTCGCTTGGCCAGGAGGACCCCTTGCCTCGATTCTGACCGAGCAGCGGCACATTCTTAGCGACGCGCGGGCATTCAACAGCGACGACAACTACGCCGGTGGATGTAACGTCTGAATGCGATCTCTTCCAGGGTGGAGTGGCCACAGTGGAAGACCAAGCACCCTCTATAGGGGCTGTGTACAGCTCCCACTCGTGGAGTCCCCTTCCACCAGCAGTGGTGTGGGGAGGAAATTGCCGGGTTGCACCTTTACCACCTCTTATCATCACCAAAACGATCATGGGGCAGGATCAATCGACCGCTGGATGTAGGCGGCCCCAAGCTGCCACCGTGACTCATGCGTCGTGCGATGCATCAATCCACGTTTTCCTAAAGGCAATCAAATCTCAAGATACCTTACAATAATGAAGGCAAAGAATGCCCTATGGGTGGGAGGGGAGGGGGAGGTGGTGGAGGGGCGGTGGTGGGGTGATCGTTGGTCTGGACAGGGAAACGCGGAGAGAGAGCGACCCAGAAGGAACAGCGACGACGATGATGACGACGACGACGATGACGACGATGTCGACGACGACGACGACGACGATGATGACGACGACGATGATGACGACCACGATGATGACGACGACGACGATGATGACGACTACGATGATGAGGATGACGACTACGACGAAGATGACGACGACGAAGATGACGACGACGATGATGACGATGATGACGACGACGATGATGATGATGACGACGACGACGATGATGAAGACGATGACGACGACGACGATGATGAAGACGATGATGATGACGACGACGATGAGGACGATGACGACGATGATGACGACGACGACGACGACGATGATGACGACGACGACGATGATGATGACTACGACAATGATGACGACGACGACGATGATGACGACGACGACGATGATGACGAGCCCCAGGGATAGTTGTGGCAGCCAGGGCAGCACCGACGAATCCCAGGGCAACGTTGGGTGGGGGGTGTTGGGGGGGGGGAGGGTGGGGGGGTAGGGCGGGGACCCCAAGTGTGCGACTCCGGCAAGCACACGAATGTCCGTCTTGACATTGCTGGCGTTGAAAAGTCGAGCGCGGGCTTGTTTTTACTTCTCGTTGCGATCACGGCCGCGGCCCTGACATTCGCGATTAATAATTGCCATGTTTTGGCATTTACCGCCAGTGCGTGGCGTGGCGGGCGGATGAAACAAAAGGTAGGATCGGGAGGTAAAAAAAAACACCCAAACGAAGGGGGAAAAAACCTCTCCCACAAAGACGACGACCTTTGTTCCGGGAGCTGCCTCGGCCTCGGATGTCGGGACGCACAACAAAGGTGGGCGGGGGACAAAAAATCCTCGCCGCCCCTGCTTCGACCAAAGTCCCAAACCCCCTTCGTTTTATTTATTTCTGGCTGCGATTTTGTTTTGGTATAACCCCCACGTGCTCGGTGCCTTTGTGTCACCGAAGCCGGCTTCACTTAATCTGGACACAAAGGTTGTTTGTTAAATTTCCTAAGATGCTGGCACACCCCTGGTGCTGCTTCTGGTGGCTTAGGTAGGGGGGGGGGGGGTTTAGTAGATTTCTCACAAACCACGAGATGGGTTGGGGGTGGCTCCGTGCGTCCGTGCGTTATTTGCGGAATGTGAGAGCCATGAAGAGGCGACGTAGAGCCAGGAGTTGTGTTCGGTCGATACCCATGAGGTATCGGACACTGCTGCCTGTTTTTTCCACTGGCACATCTGAGCTGAGCCAGCGTGGGGGGGGGGGGGGGGTCCTCACCGTACGGTTTTCCGTGCTGTTTGCCAATCCGAGCCAGAATCTAAAACTAAACTTTTTATTTTACCAGGTAAAGCCCACTGAGCTATATAGCGACCTGGCCACAAATAATCGCTCAACGAAATGGCTTATTGCATGGACATTTATAGCAGCTAAATACTCTAAGCGTGTGACGTTGATTCTAAATGTGGAGGGGAAAATCGGAGGACCTGGAGAAAAATTCACGCGACCACGGGGAGAGAGACACACAAACTACGAATATACAACAGGCGTCAGGATCAGGATCGAACCCAAGACCTCCTGTATACCAGGAGAGGTAATTAACATCTCGCCACCGTGGCACCCTATGACACACCGACATCGCAAGGCGAACCGATACCCCTTTTCCACTGTCACATCCGAGACGTGCCAGTGCGGAGTCCCACACGGAACGAACAGGTCGCTTCCCGCTGCCTCTGTGTTATGTCAAGCCGAAAGCCAAGCTGCGAGATACGCTGGCCTCGCAAGGCGACCTGAATCTGGTTCAGTGGCGTCGGTGGCTCAACAGCCAAGATTGCTGCATCGCTTGCAGACGTTCCTAGTAGCGCGTGACATCGGCGGCGCGGCTTCGGCGGCTCCTGCAGTGGAGATCGATCCTGGGGGCTTCCCGAGCCACGTGCCCGGCTGGCTCGGCACACCACGCCGCCGTGGCTCAGTTCTACAGCTGGAAAAGACGGACCGGAGGGTCAAACGGATCCGAAGACTCAATGTCAATGACGAAGTTACTCATCGTTTACAAAAAAAGGTGTTTTTATTTATTCTGTTTAACCAGGTGACAGATGTGGAGAGGCCAGGACAGTTTAATTTGCAAGCGTTACCTGGGGCATTCATGAGCCAACAGGAGGGGCTGCGTGTGGCGGTGCCCGTGGCAAGCTGCGGCTCCTGCTGGACTCGCCGTTAAGACGACAGCGGGCGATGGGGAAACGGTTCTGCTCGGAGCGAGGCGCGGTATTGATTCGCGGCCGCGTGCTCGCTCGCTCGCTCTCTCTCCCGTGGGAGGGGGGGGGGGGTTGGGAAGCGTTTTTTTTTAGTTGTCTCTCCTCGCCGGATGACGGGAGCCTTCACTCCTTCCCATTGTTGACGGCGGAATTACGGCCCTCGCGAAACCGTCGTCTTCATCATCGTCGTCGTCTCATTGCGTTGTCCATCATCTTGGCGCGGTGTGGACTCCGCTGCGCTGTTGTGAAGGAAGTCTCTCTGAGACGAGCCTTTGTCTGCAGTTTTCGCGTCTGATAATTATGATTATTACTATGAATGATTATGGCAGGTGGTATTATCATAACACGACGTGTATAGTCGTGATGTTTTTTATTCTGCTCTGTGGCTCTCTCCTCTCACATGTAGAGAGGTATGCAGTGGGAATGTGTTCCCGATGATTCAGTTCAGTTGGGGAAAAAATCCGCGGAAAATCGAGTGTTGATAATTAAATATTCGTATTTGTTCAAAAGTATAACATCGCAGCAGATGACATCACATTGAAGAGAGAAATATATATCCAGTAGAACCCTTCTTAACGAGGGTAATTGGTTCCACAAAAGCGTTCGTTAAGTGATTTTGTCATTAAGCGAGTATAGGAAATACACATTAAAGGCGTAATTCGTTCCGTTAGCATCAACAGTAAACCTTTTTCAAACAAAAAATAATTGTATAATCTTTAAAAAATGCATAATAATACATGAAGATACTGACAACATTATAAACACATATTATGAAAAAAAAACATGGTTAATCAATGCATTAATTAATATTTTCTGTACCGACAACAGCCCGTCATTAACAGGGGAATGGTGGGTAAGCGAACACATTGCCCTTTATGGAGGCCCGTCGTTCAGCGATTGCTCATTAACAGATCTTCGAGTGTCATAGGCGACGTTTCACGCAAAGGACCTTCTTCCTCGCACATAAAGAACGACCATTGCCCGACACGTCGCCTCGTACATTTTTTTTAAGGCCGCACAGCGTTATTGACGGGAATGGTGTACATTTTTTTTCTAGTCGATAACAACAACAACAACAACAACACAATAATTGTTTTATTGCCGCACGATCGGTGGCGGCGGCCGTGGTTGCCACCGCCCGCCCGCCCGCTCTCTCCGCTCCGCTCCGGCGCGTTTCCCCCGATAGCGCTAAAAGATGTTTAATGCGTAATGCGGACGCCTTCCGAACGCCGGCGCTTCTTCTCGGCCGCGGCGGCTCGAGTGGTGTGCGGTGTTTTTATTAAGCGAGATCGCGAGATCGCGCGATCGTGCCGGCTACGGCTGCGTCGACAGCGGCGGCCGCGGCGAGATAAACCCGCGGCATAAAAGGTCACGGCCGCGCAATTTCCTGTCGCCTGCGGGCACGAGCCGGCCCCTGTTCCCTCATGGAAGGGAGTAAGAATGAACGGGGAGAGGGGGGGGGAGGTCGCAGAGGGTCAGCCGGTCGGGGGATTCGGTGCAGGTCAAACGAAGACGGTGGTTAGGGTCCAATTGGGTGGCGGGGGGTCGGTGCGGGGGGGGGGTTGAAGGGGTGGGGATTCTGGCAGTTCTTGAGCTGTGCTGGGATGGCTCGACACATCCTCGGCGTGGCCTGGTTGTGCGGTCAATGTTCGGACGTGGGGTTTCTCATCATTAACGGAAACGTTTGATTTTGTGTGGCCAGGTGAGAACCCTGCCAGCAGGGGAGGTGCCGATCTCACCGCTGCTGCGTGTGTATGCCCAGTTGGGTCACGCGCGGTGCAATGTTGAATTTGGAAACGTTGGACCCTGACGCCGGCACACGGTGGCCTAATCTTGGGAATCACTTCAGGGGATCTTTAACGTCCACGGTGAAGCGGACGGTGTGTCGTAATAATTGTGGTAATTACACCAAAAGTAATCATCGGGGCGGCCGCTGGATTGGAACCGTGGACCTCTGCAGTGAAGGGCGAACGGCGCTGCCACTGGGCCACCGCCACCGCCCTATTCAGGGGTTTCTGGGTAGTCACCTGTCCAAGGGCTTCAGTGGAGTGGGGGTCAGTGGAGGGCGAGGGGTGGGGGGTTACCTATAGAGGAGGCTTCAGAAGAGGTCTCCCGCAGGGAGGGGGTTCATTGAACAGGTGGCTTCAGTGGGGGGGGGTCACAAGTAAAGGGAGTTTCAGAAGCATGGTTGGCTACGTACGGTGCAAAAGAAGTTCAACATACATACAGATTGGGCTTAGCTGCGGGAGGCGGTTTTGTCGGAACAAAGGTCTCTATTGAACCGTGTCAGAACATTTTACGGTGGAGCTTCAAACCACGGGCCCACAGAGAAACGCCACCGCCCGCTCGCATCGTTCACCGTTTGGCGACCCTTGAAGGTGCCCGCCGGCTCGCTCGCCAAACCTCGGCGTGAGCGCAGCCACGTTGCCGATCAACTCCCCGCCGCCGTAGAGTAGACGAAGGAACGGAGAAGTGATTTCCAGGGAGATTGTGTGGAGGGGAGGGAAGGTCTGGGCGGGGGGGGCTGGAGGGGAGGGCAGGCAGGGGTTGGTCAGTGGGCATCACCTGTAGAGAAGGAGAGGGGGGGTGGGTTCAGTGGAGGAGAGAGAGGGGGGGAGTCAGATGGCATGGGTGCCACCGTGCGCCTGCTGGTGACGGCTGCCGCTTGCCGATCGGCGCTGGCGACCTGCGTTGCTCTGCCGGTGCCGTTCCGCGTGGGCGCATGGCGATTGAACCCCGGGGGGTGTCGCGCGTCGCCGGCCTCGCCAGCCGACGGTGGCGCGGGGGGAGCGGGAGGGGAACTCCCCGGGAATCCGCAGGACCTTGGGACGGCGACAGCGGCAGTGGCGGTCTTTGTCTGCTCCCCACGCCGTCTCCTGTGCCAAGGGCGTGCCCCGTTTTGTCTTCCCGGCCTCCAGTATTTAACCATCGGTGCTGTGAGCTTCCGGTATTTAACCATCGGTGCTGTGAGCTTCCAGTATTTAACCATCAGTGCTCTAATGTTTCTGTATTTAGCAATAGGTGTTGTGGGCTGTCAGGCGTATGTGGATGTCGGGGTGTGTGCATGTCTTTGTCTCTACGTATGTGGATGTCGGGGTGTGTGTGTCTTTGTTTGTAGTGGGGAGCAGTAGAACAGCGGTTAGCTCACTGCGCGACAAACCCAGCGACCCGAGTTTGATTCCCGCTCATGGCCAACACAGTCCTGGGCTTCGCCTAGGTCGACTCAGTATCAACTCAGTTCCTCGTGTGGTGTATAAACATCGTCATTCGGGAGACTCACCCTTGTGTGCGGCGGTGCGTGCGGTGCGCAGGACAGCGACGTGCTGACGCTCCACGCGTCGATCCACCGCTCGTGGTGGCGCGAGAACGGCCCCGGGTGCCGCGTGACGCCCGTGGAGCCGCCCCCCGGCCGGGAGAGCCGTGGCCTCGCCTACATCTCGGTGCCGGGCTGCCTGCTCGAGTACCAGTACCTGGAGGTGGTGCACGCCGGCCTGCACATCGTCCTCGCCGTGAGGGACCCAGCGCACGCACGCCACGCGCACCAAGCGCACGCACGCCACGCGCACCAAGCGCAGGCGCGACAGAGACGACACGACGGACGCACCCGCACGCGCTAAGCGCACGTGTGACGGATGCACGTGACGGACACACACATACCAAGCGCACGCACATACCAAGCGCACGCGTGACGGATGCACGTGACGGACGCGCACATACCAAGCGCACGCACATACCAAGCACACGCGTGACGGAGACGCGCGTTCTCGTCATTGTGGTTGTTGATGTGGTCGTGTCGGACCGAAGCGTGAGCGGCCATATCTCTCTCTCGCCCTCCCGCCTTCGCACATTCGCCGCACCTGCGGCTTGATGTCTGAAGGACGGCCGTTTCTCTTCACGGAGAGTTTCGTCGTCACAAATAGCTGCGCCGAGCGTAGCGCACGACGCTCCGCTCAGGGTGGCGGGGGGGGTAGTTTGGGCGAGTAGACACGGCAACATAGGAGTGCAGTACAACGAGGAATTTCGCCGCTCTTAAATGTTTTAATGCGCGAATTCTTTCGGCGCCGACGTTATCGACCGCAATCCACCCCGCCGCGTTCCGGGACAATACGCAACACTGTTCCATCAGAAACGTGCGTGGCCACGTTCAGACTCCAAATCCGATTTTCATAATCTCCCTCTTTTTCTCCTCTCTCTCGCTCGCTCTCTCTCGCCCTCGCCCCCACGCTCGCATGGTTCTCACATTCCTCTCGGAAGCCTCCATCACTCCCAGCTGTCTCCCGCCTCGCAATAAACACTCCCGGGGAGACCTTAATTTCGCCGAAGGTCGCAGCCGAAATGGTCAGCCCGGCTCTCGACGCTGTATTGACGCGAGGAGGGGGGGGGGGTTCGGATTATTTATATAAATAAATATTCCGCCTGTGTCCCCCCCATCCCTTAAAGCCTGCCCCCCCCTCCCCCCCTCCCGTCTCCCGCCCCCCCACCCCCCCCGGAGTGCTTGACACCGCGTGTGGGAAATGGAATCTGCTTGAGCTGTGGCTGCTGAATTAGCGGCATGGGGAGACCAGTCCAGGGGAGAGCGGCTGAAGGGGAAATTGGTGGGATGTGCCGTCAAAATACGGCCGCTGCAGCTAGCCCCCCAGGGGACAGCCGTAGGCTCGCAGAGAAAATCCATAGACTTGCGCGGAAACCCATAGACTCGCGCGGAAACCCGTAGACTCGCACGGAAACCCGTAGACTCGCACGGAAACCTATAGATCCGAAAAAAAACATAGACTCGCACGGAAACCCATAGACTTGCATGGAACCTCATAGACCTCTCACGGAAACCCACTGACCTCGCACGGAAAACCCATAGACCCACACGGCAACTCATAGACCCGCACAGAAACCTATAGACTCGCACGGAAAGGTATAGACTCAAACGGAAACCCATTGACCTCGTACGGAAACCCATTGACCTTGCACGGAAAGGAGAGACACGAGGACCCTTGGAAAGGAAAGAGATCCATAGCTCTGTTTTCTACCCCTATTCCACTCGCACATTCGAGGCGAGCCAGCGTGCGGGACGTCACGACACGGGGTCGTTTCTCCCACTCTCTGCCGAGCCGAGCCACAACCAATCCATAGAACTCTGGCCTGAGAAGACAACATCCCGTACCTCCGGTTAGCACGGTCGACTACGTGTGGTGCGAAATAAGTTCAACACGCATCCGTACATCCATCCAAATCTGCCTCCGAGCCTAGCAATGACCAGAGGCGGGGGGGGGCGCTCATAAAATTAATAGTACGCGCGACTCGCCTAGTTCATCGCGCGTGACGTCAGTCGGCGCGCGTCGGCAACGCTCCTTTTGCGCGTGACGTCAGCGGCACGGCTCGGCTTCTGCAATGGGTGGCAAAAAAAACAACCGACCTGAGCCGCGTCCCGGCGCTGGCTCGGTCGGTGCGGACCCGCCCCCCCCGTTCAGCGGAAAAGGGGAGCGGAATGCTGCTGTACGTGCATGCGTTTGTATGTATGTTGAATTTCTTTCGCACCGTACCGTCAAAGTCATCACGCTTGCCACCGCAATGGCCCGCCCATCTGTTTGTTCGGATACGGTGGCGTTTCTCTTTTTTAACACTCCAGTTGACACGGCAACGTCACGGTTCTCTGGCGGATGGGCGACCCGCGCCGCACCGTGACCACTTACCATAAACGATTGGCCGTTCTACGTTGCGCGGCTTCCCGGCAATTAATTGAGCAAATACTTATCGCTCCCAGAGCCCTAATTGAAATTGATTGACTTGTCCGTCGTGGACAGAGCGATTGAACCTCGCTGCCGCCCTCCCCCCTCCGCTCCCCTCCTGCCCCCCCTCCCCCACTTTGTGAGGTCCACACAACTAGGGGCTCGTGGATTGGTGTTGTTGTTTGAATTTTTCTTTTAAAAAAAACCTTATTCATTTATTTTATGTAAATTTCTCCGGTAGAATGTTCTTGTACATGCCCATGTACGTGCACATGCCAAATGTAATGTCACCTAATCAGCAATCATCTTCATAATTAGCAGCAGAATCATCAGTATCTAATGCGCAACTCATAACACAAACAAGTGGGTCGCCAAAATCACGTGGTATGTAAGGCAAAAGATGGGATGGTTTTAAGGCCACTGGAATTAATTACCGTAGAAAAACAATTTAACATGAAAGAGCGTGAGAGCACGATCAGATAAGAGCATATCAAAAGCAATAAAATTGGGAAAGACCTGTGAAAACATTCAGTCTCTCAGATTTAAGATAAAACAAAATCGATAATGCCGGAGAGATTTGGCCAAAAAAAACCTTCAGAAATGAAGGGGGTTTTTTCTTCTTCAGAAATGAAGGGTTTTGTTTAGTTCGGAATGTTTAAAGGAATGAAGAAAAAGGGGGGGGGGGGTCGGCCTCTCCCTTTGTGAGGGCGCACGATGGAACGGCTCGTGCCACCTTTACAGCCTGGTTTGACTCCAGAACGTGGCGTTGAGAATCGATCCAGGAACAGCAAGCGTATCACAGGGGGCTGTCGATGCCACGTTCCAACCACCACCATCACTGGGGGGGGGGAGGGGGGGAAAGCAAGCCGGCGCACATGGCCCATGGTTCTAGATTTGAAGCTTTCGTGACTGCAAGGATTCATATTCTTAGGTGTTTTTCGGTAAAGTCACGTAGGTAAAAAATTGAAATTTATATTAATAAGAGTAAAAAAATCTGAATCTAAATCACGACGTTTCGGAGGCAACGGAAGCTTGTGTTGCCTCCGAAACGTCGTGATTTTTATTTTATTTTTATTTTACTTTTATTAATTTTAAATTACATTTTTTACCTACGTGACTTTACCGAAAAAACCTAAGAATATGCCCCATGGTACCAGGCGGGGCGACGTTGCGATGTGTTTTTTTCCCAATTGAGTAATTGGCGAGTAAAATGTTTCTAATCTGGCAAAATTGACGCCAGTCATTTTTATAATTATGGCAATATTGATGAATGGCCTGCTGTCTTTCGAATAACAACACTGCGTGGTCTTTAACATCCGCCCTTAAGCACACGGCGTGCAGTATGCACGCTTAATACATCCGCAGTATTAACCACGGTGGCCCGCAGGCCTTTGAATCTCGAACTTCTGCAACAGACGGAGCTGGCTCAGGCGCTACCACTCGACCATTTCACCAGCGCCTCTCGGAGGCCGCTCGTGGCTCGTGCTCGTCATCGCACGAGAACCACGTGGTTGGGGTGGGAGAGACGTAACGAGGCACAAGCGACAGGGCGCTGTTCATTCGTCTCGTTCGGGGCGTCCGAGCGGAACTCTCAGGGGTCCCGGTCGCGGCGAGCGTCAGGCCCCTTACCGCGTTTGCTCTGCCGGTGTGCAAGACCCCATCGCCGTGTCAGCGCATTTAACGCACCCTCCGATTACCACGGTTGGCTACGTACGGCGCAAAAGAAGTTCAACATGCATATCGTGGCGCCCCGATCGGAATGAACCGGCCTGGGCCGCGCGGCGCGGAGTGGAGAGTTCGCCCAGAAACTGCAGACGGCACTCCGTGGCCCGGCTCCTGCACCCCTGGTTCCCCGAGTCGGCAAACACGCATGCTCGGAAATGCAGGCGCGAGGCTGAATAGGTGCATTAGCACATCGCCGGAACTGTGAGAGGTGGTGGCAGCAGCAGCACATTTTCGGAGGCCTTCATTCAGCAGTGGATTGACCGTCCGTAGCCGACGATCAAATTCGTCGCCAAAATTTATTTAGCCGACGAGAACTCATCAACAACCTGGCCCGCGGGCAAATTTCATTCACGCTGTGACGATGACGCATAGTGGGACGATGAGCGTGGAGGATTGCGTTTGCATCCACGAAGGCCGCGTGGGGGATCACCGCTGTGCTTTGTCGTTGCAGCTGATGGGCTTCGTCTACGCCTGCTATCTCATCAACGCCTTCACCGAGGAGGAGGACAGCTGTGAGTTGACCCCCTGCGACCCCCACGGCTCGTCGCTCGCCGGACGCTTGTGCGATTAGGGGCCGGTGTTGTTGTTGTTCGACGATTCGTATGTCGCTGTGTTTCCGCAGCGGTGGTTTCTTTTTGTGTAAGAGTGCAGTTATGCATGTATGTGTATGAGCGTGTGTGTACGTGTGTGGGGGTTCGTAGTGCAGCGAGCTAGCGTGCTGCGCTATGAGCCCGGCGCCCGGGTTCGATTCCCGCTCACGGTTCACACCAGTGACGATTATCCCAACTGGTCCTGGGCCTCCCCTACATTGACTCAGCCTCAAATGAGTATCTGGTATGGTGTGGGGAGACAAAGGCGGCCCGGGTGTTGCTGGCCACCCACCCCCTCGTGTGCCATGCCGGCCTTCATAGGTGCTTGCTCAAAGCACTTGGTCCAAAAGTCTGTTAGGGCTATACGGGGGATCTTTGTCTTTGTTTGTGATGTGCGTGGCTCCTTGAGGCTGCGGTATCTCGTGCTGGGGAATCAGCAGCTTGGCTCCTGAGTCGGTCCCAGTCTCTAACGCGAGGAGCACAGTCAGGGCTATTCACGCTGTAAACGACGCGGAATCTAAAGGCGATGGTGCAGGTTCGTGCCTTCAAAGATGCAGCTCGAAGTTTGCTGCTCTCTGTTGTTTTACATCGTATAAGAGGATATTCCTGATTATTTTTCAATGATTTAGCTTTGCCCGTTTTAGGCTGCGAAATGTCACCGATTTTAGATATATATTTTTTTCCTTTAAGGGCCAGAGTGTTATTAACGAATGCGTTTAATTTGTTTGTTCTATGTGCTTGTGCACAGCTACCAAGCAGCAGCAGCAGCAGAAACTTCGCCAAATAATTTATTAACTTTTTAAACGAACTGCACTTTTTTTACTTATTTAATTTTTCAGACGTTTGGGCTGCAGAAAATGTACTCACTGTGGTGATGATGATGATGATTATTGCTGTGATGATGATCGCAATGGTTGTGGTGATTGATGACGACTGCCGTGGATGATCAACTTAATGGAGATGATGGTGGTGGTGTTGGTGGTGACGAAAAACGTCACGGTGTGGGTGATGATGGTGATGGTGTTGATGATGGAAGAAATTATGTTGTGGATGATGACAATAACTTAAATTCTGATGGTGATAATGATGATGTTGGATGGGTGAATAGCAACAACTTAATGATACGATACCGATGATGATGAAAGTAATGATGACAAAATTAATGAATCTGCTGATGTTGGCGGTGTTGACACTGATGATTATGATGACGACAACGATGACATCATCATGCTCTGACACACTCCGACGAGAGCGCTAACCTCTTCTCGCCGTGTGCAGTCGACTTCATCGGAGGGTTCGACTCGTACCCGACGTCCTACCAAGCCCCGCAGAAGCCGTCGAGTCTGCAGCTGCAGCCCATGTACATGTGACCTGCTCCGCGGGGCTCGCCGCCCAACACGCTCAGCCGAGTGAGACCCGCTCGCACGCACGCAGCTCGCGCGCGTGCCTGTGGACGTCGGAGCTCACCACCAGCCCGTCGGCCGTATGGTCGCCACTTCTGAGACACAACGAACCGAGACTCTTTGCCAGAAGGATAACATCTCACGATTCCGGAAGAGCGGGAGGACTACGTGTAAAAATGCGTCGTCTCGAGCGGTGCGTCGACATCGCTGCTGTTGTTATTATTGCACAGCTGACACAAAGCGGGAGCATTCATGTCTCGGGAAGACCGACATATTTCATGGGGACGGCCACTGCGACGAGAGGGCGCCCGAGGCAAACCGGCACAGGCGGCAACCTCGATTGGACATGACGGGCAGAAGAGTTGGTGCCTGCAGATGTCGAGCGCTCGCCGGCGCTCGTCGAGAGAGAGAGACGGAGCAAATGGCGGGGCGTGCAGACACGCCGAGGGCGCTGGAAGCGACGCGTGGACTTGCGAGCCGTGCGATCGAGGCATCGCGAGAGGTCGGCGACACGGCTTCCCCACCTCCCGAGGTGGATCATCGTCGTCATCCTCATCAGTCCATGTTCCACTCAATTCTGGATAAATGCCTCCCCCCACCAAGGCGTCGTTGCATCTCTCGGGCTTGCGACGCAACAACCCATACGGCTCCGAAATTCGCCGCCGCCGCTCCTCCTCCGCCTCTGCGGCGGACGTCCTCTCGGGGCGCGTTCCCCTCTTCCTTTGGCCGCCACTCCGTCGTCAGTCTCGACCAGTCGGCCCTCATCGGGCCGCGACGCGTCCTGGACTTGCGCGATGGCAACACGCCGTCGCGTTGGCGACACGCCGTCGGAATTCCGCACGGCGCCGGGTTCATCTCTTTGAAAGTCTGTGATCGTGTTTCCTCGTCGAGGTGTTTTGCCGAGATCGTCGTGTGCTGTCGTTTGGTGTGCGCAGGTCTTTATGATTACGTGGCGCGAGAGAGCAGCGGCAGTCGGGTCCGTGTTAGGAATTCACCACCATAGCCACTTAGCAGCAAAATATAAGACCCTCGTTAATGAATATTAGCCGGCCACCCTCCACGTCCAGCGAGAACCCGTGCTGAGGCTCATCAGATGCGTACATTCAGCTGCTTCATGTACGTACCGTACGTTGAACTTCTTTCGCACCATACGTAGCCAACCGTGCTAATCGGAGGTGTGGGGAAGGACAACAAACTAAACGCAGTTCCATGTAGCAGGTAGAGGTGCATCCCTGCAATACCTTGCTCACGTCACTGCCTGTGGAAGGGAATCCACTTAGATGGGACTCTAGAGAAGAGGGTATTTGATCTACATGCCATGGGCATGTAGATCAACCCTGCCCCTGGCCCAGCTTGGCCCCGAGCCAGATTCAGATGCCGTCGTCTTCACTTCGCATTCATACCGCGTTTCCCAAGAAGTTAGATCTCAAGTTGGTCCACGACAAGGGGGAATGCCCCCCCCCCCCGCCTCACCCCCCCCTGGTGGCAGCTGTCCCTTGAGGCACAAGGAGAAGTCGTCACCGGCCAGCGGGTGGGCATTGCTCTGGCAGACGCCGTCTTGTGAGGCCAGAGCTTCACAGTTCGGCTCTGGCTCGGCTCGGCAAGCGGTGGGCGAAGCAACACCGTACGTACTGTGCGGGCCCTGTACCGGTGCGGCTTGGATGTGCCATTGGAGAAGAGGTACACGTGACCTTACGTTTCCGCTGTTACCAAGGTAACCATCATGCGCGATGCTGCATCATGTTCCCAGGACTAGGGCCGGATTAAGTCTAAGGTGGGGGGCCGAGGACTGGTATAGTTTTGCCTGCCACCCCCCACCCCCTTTGTCCATTCTATTAATTTCCTTGCCACGCCCAATGATGCCAAACACTTCCATTGTTGTCCACCCTGTTTATTCTACTTGTAACTATTTTAAAAAAAAACGCGATGCAGAAATTGCGAAGCAAACTGGCGGTTGAAACGAACTAAACGATTTTTATTTTAACGTATAACTGATCAGTGATGCACACATCGATGATTTGGCTTTGATAACCAAATTTCACGTCGTATTTATCGCAGTGCTACAGCTGTATATAAAACTAAACCTTTTATTTTACCAGGTAGGCTCACTGAGCGAAATAGCTCTTTTTCAGAAGTGACCTGGTATTCGCAAAATGTTCGCTCAACGAAATGGCTTGTCACGTGGAAATTTACCGCAGCCAAACACTGTAGCCGCATGTTTCTCAATGTGGAGGGGAAAACCGGAGGACCTGGAGAAGAATCCACGCAACCACGGTCGTGGCACCACACACTCAGCCACTCGCTCACTCAGCCACTCGCCCACCACCACTATCACCATCAGTACCACTGTCAGTGTCGACAATGCGACGACGCTTGTTCCTCCGCCGTAGCCTTGCCGTGGTGCCTCTGGCAGTTGTGCAGGCGACTGGGCGGAGGATGTCAGCTCCATGAGCGACCTCCCCTCCTCCTGTGGTTCTTTCCGCAGCAAGCGCCCCATATTCTACCAGGATACTACGCATCTCACGAAAGTAGGTGCAGATGTGCCAACCCGGCCCGCCGACACGTTGTCTATCCACCAGAGCCTTGCGGTAGGCAGCGAGCAGGGTCTTCCACCGGCCCTGCACCTGCTAAGCCTGAAATTGTAGTCCCTGTAGATGCAGGCGGTCTGTGAGTTTTTCCCAAAGCCCCTTCTTGCGGTATTGGTTGCTCCTGAACGATTCCTTCAAGCACGTGTAGCCTTCTAGAAGCAGCATCGTGGACCTTTGATCCCACATTTGTATGGGTTCATCTTCCATTGCTGCATCTCCCACCGCCAACGCCTTTCCCTGCCCGACAGTGGCAGCCAGCTCTAGGTCCTGCTGCTGCTCCTGATCCAGATCCTGAAATTGATCTTGCTGCTGCTGCTGCTGCTCCACTTGCTGCTGCTTGAGCTGCAGCTGTATCAGAAAATCCAACTGCTGCTCTCGCACATGGACCTTTTGCTGGTCCAGCTTATGCTTCTGCAGCAGCTGGAGCTTATGCTGCTCCACCTGCAGGTGCCGCTGCTGGAGCTTCTGCTGCTTAAGTTGTCGCTGCTCCTGCTGCTTCTGCTGCTGCCACTGCGTGGAGCACCAGCTCTCGGCAACGGGGCCACTCGACATGTCCGCCGGCAGGGGGGTGCTAGAAGCTCGAGACATCACGGCTGTGAGAGTCGGGGGGGAAGTAGGACAAAAGAAACCTTCGCTTATCACTGCCTCGTAGCAACACTGGCTGGCATCCCACGGATGCTGCGAATGGCTCGAGGAGGCAGGACGGCAGGGAGGGAGTCTGGATCGCCCGGAGGTTGAAGACAACTGAACTCACCGTCCCGGGGCACCTATCTTTATTCTCTAAACTTCAAAGGCCCAGGGTGACGTCGTATCACGCGGTCAATCGGGCACTTACCCGTGCTTCCCATCGTCGTCCCTCACCACCGTCTCTACCGTGGCCTAATCCCCTTACTTCAAAGCCCCAGGGTGGCATTGTACGACGCAGCCAATCGTGCGCTTACCTGCACCATCTACAGACCCACGGGGTCTGCTGCTGCAGCCCCTCACCCATTGTTTTCCCGTGTTCATTAATTCTAACCCACTGGTCTGCCCTTCTGGCCTAATATTACACCCTCCTCCTCTCCCAGTGTCGTGAGTAACGTATTGCGGTTGGCCCAGTGAACCTTTTCCTTCTGTGTCCATACAATTGTAAGTCAATTTAGGGGCACCGCAATGTAACCTGTCCTGTGAGGGTCGGCCAATCTCCTGGCACCGGGAAACCGTGGGACTCTCCCTATAGGGGCCCTCCGGATTAAAACCCAATGTGCCAGGCAGCCCCCCCCCCCCCTCCGTCAGAACACTACGTGGGTGCGCTGTGTGTGGGTGTGTGTTTGGTGCGGGGGCCAGGAGGGGATCACGGCGTTTGCGGAGTTGCTCTGCAGTCGTGGCACCACAGGTGTCACGGTCGGGTTCGAACCCACGACCTCCTGCATACCAGGCGAGCTATTTAACATCTCACCACCGTGGCACCCCATATTTTGTGGGGGACCTCAAAAGCCAAGGCCCTCCCAGGCTGCTGCCGCTAAAGCCGCTGCATTAACTCGGCCCTGCCCAGGACGTACACCAGGCAGGGACGGTCGCCGGCACTCCTTGCCTGCGCCGCCGTCAAACAAACGCTGCCCTTCACCTCCCTGCTGCTGCCCGGCAACTACCGCGCATCTCCACGGTGCCTGTCACATTCTTTGTATTTGACACTTATCCGCTTTGACCATACTCCGGTCTCCCCGCCCGAACCCACCCGCCCAATCAGCCACCGTTCCCCCTTGCCCAACCTCGCGATGATTAATTCACGTGCCAAAACCCACGCAGCTTGGCCACCTGTCTCCATTAGTGCCCTCGTGATTTTGACAAATTGGGCAGATGTCCCGGGGAGGCCTTGCAACCTTGTGACCTTACCAACCTCTGACCTCCCGATCCGAAGGCATCGATTTTCTTCGCCCACTCCCCATGTGGTGTCATTTTCTAAAAAACAAAACCGTTTCAGTTCCCCCCTTGGCCTTAACGCTCAGCGGTGACGCATTTTCACGTGGGCCCTGTGAGGGCTTTTAAGCCGTTTCACTTTGTTGCTTCAAACAAAGGCGCGTGCTGGCATCGGGTTTTGTGATGTCATCGGTTGGTTGTTAGGGTGTTAACAATGTTCAACATCAGGCCTCGTGTTTGTGGGCGACGGATTTGCTTTTCTACGAAAGGTAAAGGTGCAGCCCTGAAATTTCTTGGCCACGTCAGGGCTGGCAGAAGGGGCCTCCACTAGAGGCCACTGTAGAGAGCCCCTCTGTAATGGAGCATTTGGCCCTACGTTTCCATGGTGATAAGACTTCTTGCAAGAGGTGGGGGTACCCACACTTTACCCCACCACACGCGGCCTGCCAATCGTAGACCAACTGGATGGACAGAGGGTGGCAAGAGGGATTTAAGAAACTTGCCCTCTTCATTCAACTGACGTGCCCGGGAGATTGAATGGAACCGGTGACCTGGATTACAAGTGCACTCACCATTAAATCGCTGCAACGTCCAACATCCAGAAAAAAAATATTAGTTTAAAAATCGAACCGAGAATCTCCCTTCTGGGCGAAACAATTTTTCGCTCGGTGTTTTGTGTGACCGGATGCAGGCTCTGCACTGTGGACCCCCCCCCCCCCCGTTCCCCAAATCTGAGACACGGTTCTTTGGTACCAGCCATTTAATGACGTCTGTTGCAAACCCTGAAATTAACAGGACTCACCTGGGGCGTCTTGGAGGAGGGGTACAACCGCAATGTTATAGGGGGTCAGTGGCACACACACACACACACGGTAGAGTAGTGGGTAGCTGTGCTCGTGGGTTAGGGTGTGTGTGGGTGCGTGTCTGTGTGGATTTGTTTACATGCATGGGCACATTTCTCGCTAGAGTTGCCACTAGGGCTGCCGCGATATTGGCGATACGACGACACTTCGTACGATATACGGTCAAGCGGTTTCAATAAAAAAAAGCGTCATTAAAATGTTTTACTCAGGAAAGCCTCGCTGATTCTTATTTTTTATTCAGGAGGATCCTGCTGAGTTTTCACAGTTAAAGGGGGGGGGGGGGGGTGACGATTGCTGTGTCCCAATGGAAGTAAATGTCGAGTCATCGTTCAATCACACCGTCCTTTTTGTTAGTTGCTAAATATCGTTACTTCGCATGCTACCGCCGCAAATTTTTATCTCACTTAAATAGCTTGCATCCTGATGAAATATTTGTTGAATTTAAAAGAAAGAAATCGTTTTTTTAAGTTGTAAATAATTGTCTATTATCCATTCAACAAGTTATTTTGCGAATTGCGTTTTTAAATGAATTGGCAACGTTGCTATTACAGGGTGTTTAAAAAGTTGGACCCAATTTAAAAGCAGTATATTTCACGATGGCAACATGTTACAATTACACAAAAAGTTACAAACGGTTTAATGAGTTAGCATGTTTTACTAACCATTTTATAAATGATCTGTGCCCTCCTGCTGTACGGACAACATCGAGACGATAGTTGAATTCGTCCCAAACGCCTCTCAAAGTGTCTTCTTCCACTGAAGTCACCGCTGCCGTGATTCTGTTTTGGAGGTCATCCAGATTAGTCGCTAATGGTGGCACAAAAACACGGTCTTTTGTGCCACCATGCTCTTTGACGTTGGCGGATCAATGCCAAAACACCGTTGAAACGCACGCTGCACCGCAATAACGAATTCAGTCTTGCTGAACTGCAGAACGTAAATCGCCTTGTGTTGCGGGGTCGCCATCTTGCGAATGACTGAGGCTAGGGGCTGTTTGTACGCTGGGAGAGGCATCTAGCGGTAATAATTTGAAACTCTATACCTCGCCCTTTCAAGTGGTAAGAGTTTCATTCATGGGCGGTTCGTGGTTGCAGAGATATAGCGATTTCAAATCGGGTCCATAATTTTTCAAACACCCTGTATGTATATTGTCACCGTTTTCATGGGTCATTGAATAATTTAATTGGCTTATGTCACCATTATTGTTGTCACTAAGATGTGTACTGTACAACATCTGTACCGTCGCAGGACGCCAATGACATAGAAGCTAGCAGCTTCATTGAGCCCTTCCTGCTGAAATAAGTAAAATGTAAAAAAAATCTAAATTGTAGTTTTAACTGACAGCATGTGCGTTATCAGCGTTGCAATCAATGTAAAGCCGTGTAGTGAACTTACGCTGAGGGACCCGCAGTTGAATAACGTTGAAGAAATCATTCGTACTGGAAGTAATGACGACAACAATACTTTTCTATGGCGTCATTTGTATAAATTTCACCGCAGGGCGCTGAACATCGTGAACCACGTTGACATCAAACCTTGAGAGAGAGACACACAACGGAGACACGACACGAATACAATCAAGGGGTGCGTCGGCGAA